CAATGCCAAGACCCAACAGATCCTGAGAGTGCACTTCCCAGAATCCTTCACGGCATTCAAGGGTTCCTTGGCAGGTCCAGAGGTTTCTTGTCAGGTGGATCAAGGTGGAAAGAACTGCCCATAGGCAGGAAAATTTGGGGGGAAATAGTGGACTATAAAATGATACGCAGCAAAACGAAAGGATAGAGGTCATTGAAAGAAAAGAAAGATGAAGGTGCTGTGAAGGTAAAGGATATACACACTCATGTCTTTTGCCCTGCTGTTGTTTGGAACTTGAAAAATTGTCGGGAGACAAAAGTAATAAGAAAAAGCCCTACTGTATATGGGGGCATTTTCAGTCAGCATTCTGTTTGCACCCGTGGCCATCCAGAACTGGTGATTTATTTATTATTTTTATTTATTAAATTTGTATAGTGCCTTTCACCCATTGATTTCAGGGCGGTTCACAACATAAAAATACAAGACAAAAACCATAATAAAAAGAACACCCCCTCAATAATAATATAAATTACTTGTACCCTGCCCATCTGACTGAGATGCCCAATGACATGTTTAATAGGGTATCGGATATTAATCCCCTAAAGGTCTGGTTGAAGAAGAATGTTTTCACCTGGTGCCTAAAGGTGTAGGATGAAGACGCCAGTCAAACCTCTCTGGTGAGAGCATTCCACAAACAGGGAGCCACTGCAAAGAAAAGGCCGGTTCTTGTGTTGCCAAATTTTGGGCCTCTCATGGAGGAGGCGCATGAAGAAGGGCCTCAGAGGGTCCAGGTCGGTTCATATGGAGAGAGGTGATGCGGTCCTGAGCCATTTAAGGCTTTATAGGCCAAAACCAGCACTTTGAATTACTGTGGTTAGTCCACAGCAGGACATAAAGGCAACAGGGACAGAGTGTTTGACTAGCACTGGAGAGACCCAAGTTCCAATTGCCACCACTCATTCCCAAAACCTCCTGAGAGAACTTTGGCCAGTCTCTCTCTCTCCCTTTCTCCCTCCCTCCCTCTCTCACCCTCACCCTCACCTCACAGGGATGCTGTGAGGATTAAAATGAGGGGAGAAGATCAAATGTATGCCACTTTGAGCTCCTTGGAAGAAAGATGAGGTAAACAAAGAATAAAACAGATAAAGGTTCCTCTGCTGTGCTTGTCCCATCAACTGGTATTCCAAGTGTGTCTGCCCCCATTAGCTCTCTTGCCTCCTGTCTATCTGTCTTCCATACATTTGTCTAATCACATTTAAAGACATCCAGGTTGTGCTGTGGGTTAAACCACAGAGCCTAGGACTTGCTGATCAGAAGGTCGGCGGTTCGAATCCCCGTGATGGGGTGAGCTCCCGTTGCTCAGTCCCTGCTCCTGCCAACCTAGCAGTTTGAAAGCATGTCAAAGTGCAAGTAGATAAATAGGTACCACTCCGGCAGGAAGGTAAACGATGTTTCCGTGCGCTGCTCTGGTTCACCAGAAGTGGCTTAGCCATGCTGGCCACAGGACCCGGAAGCTGTACGCTGGCTCCCTCAGCCAATAAAGTGAGATGAGTGTCGCAACCCCAGAGTCGGTCACGGCTGGACCTAATGGTCAGGGGTACCTTTACCTTTACCTTTAAGACTAAGCCCTCTCCTTGTGGTGGCAAGTTTCACAGTAGGCCATATGTGGACATGACTGGTGACAATCGCTGCATCAGGCCATGTTCTTTTGGCCAACCAGTTGGAATTTCTAGCACAGTCAAGGCGTCCCATGTTGCCTCTAATTCCATTTCAAAACTGAGTGAAGCACATCTCGGCCTGTAAAACTGGTTTATGGGAAAGGTGCTTAATTAGGGCATCATCATCAAGCTAGATGCAGAGTACACTTTTGGAATGTGCAGTGTGCTCTTGTAAATGATTTCATGATTGTTATAAAATGGGCTGTAATAAGAATGGCGGGCTTGAGGGACCCATTGAAGGTTGATACTGCACCTCTGCTTGCATAGAGCAAGCCATGGCTGTGCAAGATTAACAAGGTAACTGATGGGAGAACTAGACATGAATGGGGAAGACTTCGATCCAGAATCCCAGATTTTTAGGGCATTTACCCCCAGGGTGCCATGGCCCTTTCTGTTCATCTGTGCATGTGTGGCAGAGGGTTTATTCATGTTAGCGGTTAAATGCTAACCTTTTCTTTAACATTACAGTGGTACCTCTGGTTAAGAACTTAATTCGTTCTGGGGGTCCGTTCTTAACCTGAAACTGTTCTTAACCTGAGGTACCACTTTAGCTAATGGGGCCTCCTGATGCTACCGCGCCGCTGGAGCATGATTTCTGTTCTCATCCTGAAGCAAAGTTCTTAACCTGAGGTACTATTTCTGGGTTAGCGGAGTCTGTAACCTGAAGCGTCTGTAACCCGAGGTACCACTGTATAACGTAAGAGCCCCATTTTCCAACAAATCTAGGGCTACCCAAGCTGGTAATCAAGTGTTTTACTGTCTTAAATACCCAAGGCCATGCTATGAGTTTATGCTCAACACAGCCATGCAGTCATAGGAGCCAGCTCCTACGGGCTGAGGTCCCTTTGCACCCCCCAATAAAATATTTGAGGGGGCCACCTCCTCAAGTTGATGGACATTGCCATTGATGATGTCTGTGTGCTGCACCATGTGATTATGTGGGTGGAGCTTACCTGCTCCCCTTAATTTATTCAAGTTGTCACTTGAATAAATCCAGAGAGTGTATGCAGAGAGTGCATGACACCAAGGGGTAGTAGTACCCCTCATTTCTTGCTATCTCATTTGCTGTGCTGGCTGTCAGCCAAAGGTCACATTTACAGCACATGGCTTCCTCAAAAAAAACCCCCAACAAAACCATGGGAACCATAGTGCTGGGAACTGTAGTCCCATCAGAGGTAAACTACTGTTTCCAGAATACTTTGGGGGAAGGAATGTGCTCTACATGTACGCTGTAGAGGTGACCACAGTATATTAAATTTGTGTATACTATAGTAGGTGCAGATAGATCTCTTGGCAGACTTCTGAGGGATCAGCAAGAATTGTTTAACAGCTGACTGACACCCCCCCCCAATTGTTTAACAATAGCAGCAGCGAAAAGGCTTCTCTCTGCCTGCCCACTTCTAAATTCGGTTGCTAACATGAACATAACTTAGCGGCGGAAGGGGGGAGTCAAGAGTTGGTTTTTGTCTGACGTGAGTTTGAACTCAGGTTTGGTCCTGAGTTTTCAACAGTTTTCAAATGAACACACTGCGGGGCCATGCAGAATCGACCCGCGATAAGCTTTCATCTTCAGAGCGAAACCACTTTCACAAGCAGCACTTTTCAGGGGCAAATCATATATACAGTAGATTTGGAAAAACCAGCGTTTTCCAAACTTGGGTCTCCAGCTAATTGGGACTACAACTCCCACCGTCCCTGGTTACTGGTCCTGCTGGCTAGGGGTGATGGGAGTTGGAGTCCCCAAAACGGCTGGCGACCTAACTTCAGGAAACGCTGATTGTAGATCATGTATCGACAACGCGGTCTCCATTGATTCTGGAAAAGTATCGTGTGGCTACGCAGCCCAAATCTGCAGAAACGCGCAGCTGAAAACAAAACAATAGTTCTTTGGGGGTGGGGTGGGGAGAACCTTTCTCTGTTTTTCGAGGATGAGCCCCAGAAGGTAGCTTCTTACCAGAGGAATTCGGGGCGGAGGTGCGAGGAATGCCTCTTTGAAGGTGGCTGCTGTAAACTTGTGGGTTTGGCAAGCATTTGTGCAAAAAATAACCACTGAGCGACGTGAGGGGAGGAGGGACTTTTAATCCACAGCTTTAAAATCAATTCGCCCAACCGATAGATCGCTGCCCCGCGTAATAAAAGCTGCGAGTGGCAGGTTCTGGATTCCCCTCTCCAGCTGTTCCGCGAGGTCCCCGTAACCCTGGACGGTCCAGACTCCGGCCACGCTCCTTCCTACCTCGCCGCACCTGCCGCGTCCTTCTCCTTTCCTCTCCAGTCTCCAACGCAGGGCGCCTCCTTCGCCCTCTCCGTCTTCTCTCGCTCCCTCCCGCTTTCGTCGCCGCTCTAGTTGCGACAGGGCGACGTCGTCGGTGACTCATCCTGTCACCCGAAGCGAGAGAGTGGTGCGGGGGGGAAAAAAATCCTGCCCGGGCAACCTGGGCGAGCCTGCAGTTGCAAGCAGATGCCTGCAGATGGAACCTGTTCACCAAGGCAGCAATGCACCCAGAAGGGGGCGAGGGAAGCGCAGCGCATCGGGAACCATGGGAAACGGACGCGGCGGCGGATTCCCTCCAGGGCCGCTTTCCGGAGAGATCAGAGAGGGAAACATCCGATTCAGGAGGAAGAGGCGACCCGGCGGCTTTCCTCCGACGAGAGGGGGCGCCATCGGAGCAGAAGGCTCCGACGCGCGGCGTTGGGAGACTAGCGCCCCTTCCTCGGACGGTTGGACAGCCAGCCGGAGGCAACTCCAGGCAGCGAAGAGGAGGCCTTGCAAAGTTTGATGGGCAGCCTGCGTCCGCCGTCGGGCTTCCCCCGTCGCAAGAGCCCCGAGCGAGTTCTAGAAGGGGCTGCTTAAGACCTGGGCGCGGCGTGACGCCTGGAGCGCTAGCGACGCGCGTCGCTTAATGAGTGTACTCGCGCGCGCGCTCACACATAGACACACAACTCGGGGAAAGGGAGGCTCGCTTTCTCCTCCCGCCCCGCTTCCCTTGACTGACTCGCCTTCATTCAAGAGAAGCCGCAGTTCATACCCACACATTCCTGATTAGCCCCCACCTCCGCAACCGAGCCCTAAACTGGCTCTTCCTTTCCAATAAAACCTGGTGGAAACAGTTCTTGTCCTGAGCGTTTGTGGTGCCAGATTAAGGGAGGGGGAAGGGGGGGGGGTCGAGAGAGAGAAAGCGTGTGCGCAGGAAAGCTTTGCAGGGGAAAGGGGGCGGGGGGGGGGAGAGACTAGATCCTGCCGTGATCTTTCCGATCCACATTAAAAAAAAAAAATGGGGGGCGGAGAGAGCGGGGAAGAAAGAGGAAGGATTCTCCGATGCAACCGGCTCCGGGAGCTTTCCGTTGTGTTGGGAAGGCTGCGGCATTTCAGGAGTGACTTCGGTTTGGGAGCTCGAAAACTACCCCCGAGGGTGTGTGTGCGAGAGAGAGAAGAGGCGGGGATCAGAATTGGCCGGGATTGGGCTGGGCTGCGGTGGGGGAGGTGGGGGTGTTGTGAGAGCGACGGAGCTTCCCCGACTATCTCCCCGCCGCCACCTCTTTTCCTTTCGCCCGTGGCCAGGCTGAACGTCTGATAAGAGGTGGATTAGGAGGGGAGTTGAGAGACAGACCAATAGCTGCTGCCAGTGGGAGTATTTTGTGATTCACATGTAAGAGGCTCGGGAATCGCTGCCTCCTCCTTTCTTTCAGCACCAAGAACAGCTACAAGTGCAGCTCCTCGCTCGCTCGCTTGCTTTTGCTTCCCCCTCCTCGGAAAAGCCAGGCAACGTGCGCGCAAATGGAGCCGCAAGAAGGCGCCCCGAGGGCTCCTCTCCAGCCCGGGTGAGTGAGCGAGCCGGGACCCCGCACCCTACCCCGTCTGCAACTTCGCGACGGGAGCGCATGCATCAAGTTGACCCGGAGTTGGGAGCCAGGGGACTGGATCCCCGGCTGCTTTGATCGCTCTGCCAAAAGCCACCCGGGGCCGAGGCGCCCCGGAAGCCCCGGAGTCTCCCTCCGGCTTCTTCCCGAGAAGTTCGAGGGCGCGGCGATGGAGGAGGCTGGCACCGCTGCCCCGGCGCTTTGCCGCCCTGCCGGGATCGCCGGATCTCCCGCGGGGGGCGGGGAGCGGGCCGAGGGGGCGGGGAGTCGCTTGGAGAGAGAGGTTGGTGGGCTGAAATTACCTAATCCTCTCTCCCTACCCGGGCGCCGCCGCCGCCGTCTATTAATTCCACCACTGACCCCCGCCGCTCCCCGCGCGATGGAGCTGCAAGTCTTGCCGAGCGATTGGGGGAATCGAGGTAGCTTTATTATTACTATTATTATTATTTATTAGGCTGAATGCAGTGTGTATGTGGGAGGGGGGGATGAGAGGAATGATATCAAGGGAAATGGGAGGGGGGTGCAATCCAGGAGGGGCAGGAAGAAGAGTGATGCGTGAATGCAAGTTGTGTGGGGTTTTTTTGGGTGGGGGGTGTTGAGAGAAATCCGACTTGCTCGCCAGAGGAGCTGCCGAGGTTTGTTTCTGTAGCACTTGGTGGAGCTTTCGGATCTGGAAAGACACCTGATGGGGAGCTGGGGAAGGAATTGGCAACGTGAAGGGGCAGTGATCAAACAGGCGTCTTGTGCCTGGTGCAAGGATGAAATCCGAACACACACACAGAGCTTACACCCCAGTTTCGACACCCTTTTTATTTATGGCTCCTCACCACCATCTGCTGATTTTTTAAAAATTGCATATGGCTTTCAGTCCTGAAGACTTTTTTTTATTTGCTTTTTTAAACGCGCCTGTTCCCCTGGGTTTAATCCGGAGTTATGAACCATTCCTAGGGGGAGCGGGAGCACTTGGGGGCTGCCCCCCGAACTTTCCTTTGAAAGCTATGCAAAGCGGAGCTTGGCGAAAGTCCTCCCAGCGCGATTTCTTCCTCTGATCTCAGGATTTAAATTTAAGCAGCTTGATCCACTTCCTCCTTGAACCTCCACCCCCCCCCCCGCACCTCACCGCCGCCCGGAGGAAGGAAGTGGAGCTTTTAAGGCTCTTGGAGATCAGCAAGCCCACCCTACTGTGGAGAGAGAGGGGGGGGAGAGGTCCCTTGAGGCTTGTTCAAGCTGGTAAAATCGCTCAGGATTGACCCGTGTGCCTCTTCGTGTAAATTGTAAACTGGCGCGCGGGGGGGGGGGGTACCCTAGCTGTCAGATTGTGCAGGACCTGACAGGAGCCCCTGGGAGCCCTCACCAATTGATTCCCCAGACTTGTATTTCAGAGGAGGGGGGAAAGAGGAAGCTCTCTTGATGTCTCTCCAAAAAAGAAAAAAGAAAAAAGCTATTTATAGAAAAGAATATGAGATGTCTGCTAATGGAATCTCATCCCTTTTGGAGATGTCTAATCTGTCCCCCCCTTTTTTTTAAGGCAGATATTTTAAAGACAAGTAGGTAAATGGATCACATTGAAAACACATGCCCCCAATAACCATTTCAAACTATCAAGAGCAATTATGGATTTAGGAGAGCAGTAAGGCCAAGCCGGCACACTGACATTTGCCATTACAAGCAAGCTTGGGGCTTGAAATTCCTCACTAAAAAAGGATGTTACATTTCCACAGAGGGATTTCTATGCAGAGGGAAGCAATTGCAGTTCTTCCTTTCTTTTTAAGGAGACAGGGCTGTGGCAGTTGCATCTGAGCACATATGCACACACAGGACATTTGGGAAGACTCGAACGCTACATGCCTTGTGAACCTGCTTTTTTAAGAGAACGAATGAAGCCATTTCATTCTAACATTTCAAAATCTACAAAAGACTGGGCTGCAATGAGAGATAGCGGAAGGGTTGCTGCTCACCCTTAGGCGGCAAAATACTCCACCTCCCCTTGGCAGTCTTCCAATTAGGGTTGAAATTCCTTAGGTGCAGAAGGAAATTGTATGGGGAAAAGTAAAAAAAAAAAAAAAAAACAGAACTCAGCCGTCAACAGAGGGCACCCGCCTGAGTGCATTTACTATCCAGATAGCAGCAGGTTTTTGTGTGATTTTTTTAATGGAACAAAGTGGTGAAATCTTGCTTGCTGATTGAACTTCTGGGCCTCCCAGTCTTAAAGCTGTTTGCTTGGAAGGGCACCCCATAGATGTCAGGGGAACTTACCTTGATCCCCTGCAACGAAGGGCTACTGTTAGACTGCACTGCAAATATGAATGGAAGATGAGTGCTGGGAATGAAAGTGCGGCCGATTGTTTGGGATGAAACTGACTCTGAGAGGTGAGAGGAAGGGGAGCTGGAATACAATGGCAGGCAATGTTTGATTCAGCCAAATGTATGGAGAGTTGGCAGAGCCAGCGAAAGCTGCTCTTTGGCAGCTTTTCCTGGGTGAAATTGGCAGCCAGACAGGCAGTAGCCTGATCAGACAGTGACCTTGGCAGCATTAGGGCATTAATGTTCACTTTTGGACGAACAGATCTCCAGCATCTCCAGTGCGTTAGGTGAAAGGAGGCCCAGCCTCCTGAGATTAGATACGTGCCCTGTTCCATTCCCCCTCTTTCACGGTCCTCCGACAAATGCATTTATGACAGCCAGCGTGAAGAAACTCCTCCTCTGTTTTTCACGTTTGTTCTCCACTCTTCCGATTGGAGTATTTTGGGTCACTGATGCAGAACAGGAACTTCCGATAAACTGGAGCTGCAGCAATCTGTTGGCCAGAGCAATGCCTCCTCCAGGCTGATTTGGAAAGTCTGCTTGCATTTCACAAAGGAGACCGGGGATGGGAAGATGCTGCAGTTGAAGGATCAGTGAAGCACAGAGAGGAGCATTGTAGCTCTCTCTCTCTCTCTGCACCCCAGTTTCTCAACTCGTTGGGGAGATTTCTCCCCTTTCCTGGCATCAGAATGTGGCTGCCTTTAATTTAACAAAAACCAGAGGGGCGGAGGATCAGTGCAGAATATTTTAAAAAGAGAATGCAGCTGTGTTCGGCGAGGAGCTGATTTTCCCAGATAGTGTTGGAATAGGCTTATTTGAAATACTGTGGAAGCATTTTAAGAGTCTCCCCCCCCAATGGAAAACATGTTCTAGAACTGATGCTGGTAAGAATGGCTGTTAGCATTCACACTGCTTTTAGCATTCCTTACAAGAATTATGTAGGATAGTTAAATTCTCAATGCATTGTCAGCGGGGGCTTAGAGACCGTGGTTTGCCTCCAGTCACCCACTAAATGGATGGCAGCTGATATGTGAATTGGGGGCTTCTCAGATCACACTCTCAGCTGTCAGCATGGCGCCAGGTTTTTGATTAGGACCACGAACTTGGGAGAAGCACATCTATTTAGTCTTGCTCCCAGCCTAGTGCTGGATCTAAAATACAGGATACAACTACTCAAACCCTGAACTACCGCTGTCTAACCTCTCTCCTTCATTATCTCCAGCAAAACAGAGCCCACCACCTCCCAAGTCAGTCTTTCCTGCTATCACATAACTCTTGCCATTAGGAAGCATCTCCTCGTGTTTACTCATTTTGGGAGAAAGTTATAAAGAGTTTGCTGAGCGAGGGAGAGTTTGGCCTTGCAAATCGTTATGTGCCTTGATAAAGAAGGATGGTTTTGAGGAAGACCTGGTCCTGTAATGATAAGTTGTGAGATAAAGGGACCCGCCTTCTGCTAGTCCCAGGACTGGATCTTGCCAACAGCTTATCATTTGCCTTTTATTGTTGTGTGTGCGGAGGTATGAAACTGTATTAGCCGGCAGTTGAATTCTCAGACTTGGTCAGGTTTAGAGCTGAGCCACTGAAATAAACGGGTCTCTTCTGGACACAACTCTGGATACTTTTCCCATGTGGCACCTCAAACAGGGCAGTAAATGGCACCCAAAACTATTGAGAAGGGGCTGGAATATGTTCCCCAGGAAGAAAGGCTGCAATGTCTGGAGATCTGTAATTCAGAAAAAAATAATGATAAGGGGGTTGATGTTATAAGCACAGTGTGAAGAAAGGAGATGGAGAGATTGGTAATAGTAAGTTAACTGTACCTGCAATACACACCCTGGCTGATTTCAGGCATCAGATCACAGGGACTAACTTTCCTTAGATCTAGCAACAGCCAAAACTCTTAATGTAGCCAAGAGATGCAAGGTTTGCTACATTCACTGCTGAAGGTGTCCCACACTTTCTGCTGACAGTTTTCCAGCCTGTTAGCAGCAGCGTTCAGCAACACCCATTGCTGTCCACAAAAACCTGTTGCCACCATTTGTCCAGAACAGCTTTCTTAGAAACACCCCCCCCCAAACAGCTTTTCATGACATTGGGTGTCTCATTGCTCCCAAAGCAACCCTTTCCCCTGTACTATGATTTACCTAATCAAAATCCCCTTCCCACTTCAAGACTTGTTGGCAGTACCACAGGGAGGAAAAAGGGATACTTCTATTTCCCCCTCTGCCAGGATAAAAGCACTCAGGTAGCAATTTAGACCAAGGAATTTAGATATGTGGAAAAGGTTAAGCATCCTCTCCTCATCCTCTGTCGCACTCATCTCCTTCTTGCATGTTTTCCAAAGGCATCTGGTTGGCCACTGGGAGAACAAAGTGCTGGATAAGTCTGGGTTTTAGCCTGATGTAGCAGAGCTCTTGTTATGTTTGTGGGTGGCAGACCACTATGATCTCCGGATTGAGCAAGTGTCAGAATTTAATAAATGCTTGGGGAGTTAACACCAGGAAATTGCTAGACCCATGTTTATTAAGCTGTGTACTAGACACATCTCTAACCCACCTGGAATCAGTTACAGATGGGTAGCCGTGTTGGTCTGCCATAGTCAAAATAAAAAAATCCTTCCTGTAGCACCTTAAAGACCAACTAAAAGCTCCTGTGAT